AATGCAATATAGTTCTTGGTTAGAGCTAACTAGTGGTCTAGGTTCAAATACTCTCTTTGCCACTAAGCTAAATATTACTTTAGACAAAATGTAAATAGATTAAGTTTGGGGGAAGAATGTCAACTATTCAACATGGAAATGAAAGTGGATAAGCTTGAACTGATGTTCCAGAAAGCTGATTCTGATCTGGATTACATTCAATGAAAGCAGGAATATGAATCAAGGTTAATAATCTTGATTCAATAGGCAAAAAATACACAGTTATATTCATTTACTATAGCAATAAAGTGTCAATATCAAACTTTGCAATACATGCTTTAAACCAGCTGCTGCTGAGCAGAAAGAGACTAAAAGCTGCCATTTGTGCTACTTTATTTTTTTTTTTTTTAGAGATTTATTTATTTGTACATACAGAACTGGGGTACAGGCCAGAAGCTCAGGGGAGGCGAGAGGCTTCACCAGAAACAGAGTGGGGAACAGAACAGGCAGATTGACGAAGTACACTGCTGAGGGGAGCAGCGGGCGGGTCAGGAGAAGTCTGCCACGCCATGTGGTCATCTCCAGGGCAGGCGGGAATCGAACTCATGCGGAAGTGGCTTTAGATTCTCAGTGCTGTACTTTAACCCGCTGCGCCACCAGGGAGGGCCAAGTGCTACTTTATTTTTGTTTTTAAAGATTTCTTTTTATTTTTGCATACAAGAACTGGGGTATAGGCCAGAGGGGTGTGGGAGGTGAGAGGATTCACCAGAGAGAGTAGGGAGCAGAGCAGGCAGATCTACTGAAATGTATTCCTGAGGGGAGCAGCAGGCGAAACAGGAGAGGTCTGCAACACCATGTGGACCACCTCCCTGGCTGGGGATCAAACTCATGTTGCAGTGGCTGGCTACATAGCTTGATAGCTCTGTGCCTTTAACCCTTGTGCCATCAGGGATGCCCCTGCCTTTGTGCTACTTTGAATAAGACAATGACCATAGTACAAAAATTGCAGAAGTGAGAAGACTTGGGTCTCACCACCTACCAAAGATGAGAAAACTGCAAGAACTCAATTAAAATCTCACATGTCAGATTTAGAAAACATGGAGTAGTAAAAGGGAAAATATCAATCCCAAGAGATTTTGAAAGATGTTTGTTAGTACTTGATGTGGGCAGGTGGTGCATGAAGGGGCTTGGCTTGGGTGACTGAATAGTGATGTCTTTCACAACAGGGGAATGTAAGAAGGAGTAGTATATAAAGTTTAGTCAAAAGGATGGAATGGGAATAAATGGAATTTAAAAATATATACGCACACACAATTAGTCTTTTGTTTTAGGCAAAGAAGTCTCTAACACTATTTTGCACCTGACTTTGTATTACCATAGGTGTCCTGGCCTACTGTAAAAGAGTATTTATGTACTATCATGTCAGACAAATGTGAATAAGGGTACTTTAAAATTTAAAGGATAGAAAAAAGTAATTATATCATACATTATATATGTATATGTTTTTTTTTTTAAACCTGACTGCAGTGAGGCCTATAGAATCCATCAAAAATCTAACTTTAGTAATAAGCTAGCTTTTCTGTGTCAGCCTTTCTTTCATTTTTTTGCCCAGTTTTGCTGCTAATTTTAGCAACATGAGCTCTAGTTTCAAATGCTGTTTGTTTTAGACTGCCCTTGTACTTTAATGCCCTTGTACTTTAACTTAACTTTAATGTTAAGTTTCTCCTTAAACTGATCGCTAATATAGATGGAATGGAATGAAACTGATCATTCTACATGAGATCAGAAGTATTCTGGGAAATAATGAAGCTATGTTAAACTAGAAAGTTTTATAGTTAAGACCAGGCTTTGAAGTCACATGTAACCTATAAATAGCAGGTTTTAAATTCTAGCTATGTGAACCCGAACAAATTGCTTACATTTAGGAGGCTGGAAGCACAAGGAAAAGAAAGTGTTTGGGTTTGATATTTAGTAATCCTTCTATAAATGATACTCTGTATAGTAAAAATAAAGTATTGAAAAGACTAGGAAAATCACATCAAATATTAGTTCTGCAGGTTACGGAACTTTACTTTTCTGCTATAAAGTGTATGAGTCCATACATAGTGTCAAAACTTATAACAGCTCACTTAAAACAGCTGATAAATAGGGTTGGTAGAGAAGCTTCAGTTAAAATTGTCCTGTCTAGTTTAAATATTGCATGAACAGAATCCCTGCCCTCTTTTTCAAATTGCAGAGACATACATTACCTTAGGAAAGATATTAATTTTCCTCAATAGTTAGTAGGCAATTAATGTCAAGGAAGTTTTTGTCATGGGATGGCTCTGAGATACTATGTTAATTGGTGGGAATGAAAAATAATAGTGACAAGAAAAAACAAAATGGAGGCATTGCAATCCCAAACTTCAAACTATACTACAAAGCCATAATAATCAAAACTGCATGGTACTGGAACAAGAACAGACATACAGACCAGTGGATCAGTGGATTCGAATAGAAAACACAGATATAACCCCACAAGTTTATGAACAGCTAATTTTTGACAAAGGAGCAAAGAAGATACAATGGAACAAAGAAAGTTTGTTCAGCAAATGGTGATGGGAAAACTGGGAAGCTACATGCAAAGAAATGAAACTAGATCACTACCTCACTCTAGTCACAAAAATCAAATCGAAGTGGATTAAAGGCCTAGACATAAGAACGGAAACCATAAAATACCTGGAAACAAAAATGGGCCAAACACTACACGACATACACTTCAGCGACATCTTTAAAGATAGAGCACCCAATGCCACAATAGTGAAGGAAAGGATAAACAGATGGGACTACATCAAGTTAAAGAGCTTCTGTACAACAAGAGACATTACAAAAAACAGACAGCCCACTAACTGGGAAAACATTTTCTCACACAAAAGCAGTGATAAAGGACTGATCACAAAAATATACAGAGAAATGACAAAACTCAGCAAAAATAAACAACCCCATCAAATAATGGGCAGAAAAGCTAAAAAGACACTTCTCCAAAGAGGAAATGCAGATGGTCAACAAGCATATGATAAAATGTTCAACATCACTCATCATAAGGGAGATGCAAATTAAAACCACAATGAGATACCACCTCACCCCAGAGAGAATGGCACATCTTCAAACAACTAGCAACAAATGTTAGCGAGGATGTGGAGAAAAAGGAACTCTCCTGCACTGCTGGTGGGAATGCACACTAGTACAACCACTATGGAAAACTGTTTGGAGGTTCCTCAAACTGCTAAACATGGAGCTTCCCTACGACCCAGCAATCCCACTCCTAGGTATCTACCCAAAAGACACAGAAACACTGATTGAAAAAGATACCTGCACCCCCATGTTTATTGCTGATTTATTTACAATTGGAAAAACATGGAAGCAGCCCAAATGCCCAAAAGTAGATGACTGGATTAAAAAGATGTGGTACATATATACAATGGAATATTACTCAGAAACCAAAAAAAAAAAAAAACATGTGTTTTGCAGCAACTTGGATGGAGCTGGAAAAGATCATGCTTAGTGAGATAAGCCAGAAAGAGAAAGAAAAATACCAGATGGTTTCACTCATAGCAGGAGTATAATGGACCAGGCGAGAAAATAACAAGAATAATGAACAGCCATATACCAGAGACATTTTGTGGGGGTGGAGTGGGGAATGGCATCAAAAACAGGGGCGGGGGGAGGGAAGTGCATGGGACTATGGTGATGGCACACAGGTGACTCAGTGATGGGAAACCCACGGGGATTACAATTGAGATGAAAAAAAAATGTACAAAATGATGTAAAAATAAACTATTATATTATAAAAATAAATAAATAAATAATAGTGACATGAAGAGGTTATAACAAATTCTTAGTATTTCAGTGGTTTTCCTTTGAACCAGGGAATGAAAACTAGTTTGTACTGTTTTTCCTATGACTCCCTTCAAAGGTATCTTCTAAATGTTAGTTCTTCCCACCTACTCCCCTTAAAATTGTTCTCTATGCATTTCTTCATATTCATTTGTTACCCAAGTTTCATTTATTGGCTTTTTGTAGATGACCCCCACATAACAACTTTTACTAGACCAGATCCAAATTTCAAAAAAACCTCTACCTGAATATTCATATCAAACATATCCAGAAAATATACTCTCTTTGCTATTTTGTTAATGGAATGTTAGCTGGAATTTAAAAGTTTATACCGCTTTCTTATTAGTCAATAAAATGTAACAGCATCTCTGAAATGTTTATAGTATTCAATCTCCACTTTATTTTTACTCTTACTATTCTAACAAAAGTCTTTCATTTCTCATTTGAATTATATTTACTTCCTTTTCATGACAATGATGTGTCTTAAGTTGTAAAACCTAAGTTGTAAAAAAATAAACTAAGTTTCAGTTTCTTTAAAATAGAAATTGCATACTTTCAGGCCCTCCCTGGTGGCTCAACGGGTTAAAGCACAGCACTGTAAAGCTGTCACAGCCACTGCAGCATGAGCTTGATACCCAGCCAGGGGTGTAAACCACATGATGTGGCAGACCTCTCCTGACCACCCGCAGATCCCTTCAGCAGTATACTTCAGTACATCTGCCTGTTCTGCTCCCAACTCTGTCTCGGGTGAATCCTCTCACCCACCACACCTCTGGCCTGTACTCCAGTTCTGTATGTATAAATAAATAAATCTTTAAAAAAAAAATAGAAATCTAATACTTTCCTAGTTGATTGTAAGGATTAAACAAAATTCTTATAAAGCACCATACTGTAGGAAGTCAATAAATAAAACAGTCAATTGAGAATTTCAAATACAGTACTATTGCTATGAAATATTTTAGTCAGCACAGAAATTAATCAGTGGTTTGTCATTCACAATGCTCTCTTATACAGTAAGTAAACAAAGAGGAAGGGTTTTCAAGAAACCTAAAAATTCAGATCTCTGTTGGGCAAAATGCCATACCAGTTACTTATAAACCAGCCTACTAAACACATATTTAACCCCAATTATGCACTATACTTACGATTTTTGTGGCCTAGTGTCATAATTCTATCCATATCATCAGCATTATTTACCACATAAGCTGATAAATCTTTGATGTAAACTCCCACATCAGGTCTTTCTTTAACCTAAAATAAAAAACAGTAAAATATTACTCATACATCTATATTTCTTCCAATTACTTACTGAATATTTATTAAATACTGGATATTCTGTTAGAAAGTGATGACAGAGTAATGAATAAGGTATAGTCTCTATGCTTGTGAGGTTACTATCTATAGAAAGAACATAAAAACAATCAATCACACACAAACATATTATTTCAATTGTGACAATGCCAGGGGGTAAGGGCGGGAAGAAAGGACAGTACAAGAGTATAGTATAAAGATGGTTAAGCTAAGATTCGAAGAAGCAGGAGATAGCCGATCTGGGTTAGGCCTTGGCAGATTATGTACACAGATCATGGGATGTGGAAATGCTAAGCACTTAAAATAAGCAATAAGCAAACAACAAAAAGGTCAGAATGATTGGAAAGAGTAGGAAAAAATGGGTGGGATATCTGGCTAGAAAGGTAGGCAGAAATAAGAGTAAGTATCAGTCTTTACATTCACAGTAATTTGAAGCCACTGGAGAATTTCAGTTGAGTGTAATGATGAGATATGTGATATCCACATAAAAATTCCCTTCTGTAGGTAATCTTATGAGAACTTTCACCAAATTTGAACAGTGTAATTAGCACAGATTTACCTAAAATACGCATAGTATTAGAAATACAAATTTCTCGTCTAGGCCATACCACCCTGAACGCGCCCAATCTCCTCTGATCTCAGAAACTAAGTAGGGTCGGGCCTGGTTAGTACTTGGATGGGAGACAAACATATTTCTCTTGGGAGGACCCTAGATATCACCTCTAACTATAGAATAAAATTAAAATGAAGGAAAGGACTGTGGCTTCCAGTGAGGAAAGTGATTTCATACTTAGCCCTTTTAGACAAAGCTGACAAACAGAAATTTGAAAAACAATTCCAGAAATAAAAGTTAGGTATGTTATGGCTTTTGAGTATTTTGTCTCTTATAACAATTATAAGAGATATTTATACATTAGGAAAAATTATCCTTTTTCTGTCACATGATATAAATCAAGCCTTAATTTCATTAGTAATAGAAAGAGTGCGTCAGTTTCTATAGACCAGAAGGCTTCAAACTAGTGCCCTGAGCAACCCTAGGTGTGTGGTGGCTGAGGTCTACACAACCAGAGAAGTTCTAAAAGAGAGCTCTACTTTCATGTATCATATATACACTATGTTTCTACTAAGGATTTCATTAGAAGAAAGCATTTAAATGCTTTAAACATTTTAAAAGATTTTAATAGAACTGGTCTATATCAATGTTTCTCTGAAAATCTATAGGAAGAACAATGTGTATATTTCTAAACTAGCAAATTGATATTTTTGTAAAATACAAAAAAACATGATCTTAAATGCCATGGCATTTAAATATTAAAAATTAAAAATATTTATCCCCAGGCCCTCCCTGGTGGCGCAGCAGGTTAAAGCACTGAACTAAGAAGCTAAAGCCACTACCACATGAGTTCGATCCCCGCAGGCCCCGGATGTGATCCACATGGCGTGGCAGACCCCTCCTGACCTGCCTGCTGCTCCCCTCAGCAGTGTACTTCATCTACCTGCCTGTTCTGCTCCTCACTCTGTATGTGGTAAATCCTCTCACCGTCCCTGAACCTCTGACTTGTACCCAGTTCTGTATCCATAATCTTTTTTTTAAAAAAAAATTATTCTCACTTTCTGTACTCATCTTTTTACAGAACATAAACAAATACTCTTCAGATTAGCAGAGGTCTAGGCCTCTCTGGTGGTGCAGAGGTTAAAAACACAGTGCTATCAAGCTCTCAACAGCCACTGCAGCATGAGTTTGATCCCCAGCCAGGAAGCTGACCCACATGGCGCGGCAGACCTCTCCTGTCTCACCTGCTGCTCCCCTCAGCAGTGTATTTCAGCCAATCTACCTGTTCTGCTCCCCACTTCGTCTTTGGTGAATGCTCTCATACACACCCCCACACCTCTGGCCTTTACCCCACTTCCTGTATGCATAAATAAATAAATATTTAAAAAAAAATAAAGGAAATGTGTGTGGGAATTTATGATTTGCTTGAGGACACTAGTAACAGTCATAGGCAGGGCCCAGGAATACTAAACATCCTGAAGAGGGAGGGATGATCCCAACTGATGAAGACTTGTCCTATGTAACACTCTACATTCCACCAGATATTCACAGGAATGAAGAAAATATCTGAATGTGGACTCAAGCTACTTCATATATAAAGATAAAATGCTTTTCCATAGTAATGATAACATAAAAATGCAGGAAAACTGAGGAAATGATTACTTTAATGTGCTTAGAATTCTACTATTTAGATCTAGTTACTAATTTAAAAGACCTTGTCACTGACAATAACAAATCAAGACAACCAACACAACACACCTATGATCATCTGCATTTGTAGCTTGGCTGTCATGATTAGAACATGCCCCTGACAGTTTCATATATCAATGAGGGTGATCACACCTAAACATTTACCTATTGAAATACCAGCATTTTAAGTATTTTTATTCTCCTTTATAATATAACTGGGTAGTGTATTAAAATTTTCAAAATTACACATGTAGGCAGAGTTTATCTTCTATGAATTTTACTTCAAGATTGCCAAAGAGACATCATAAAATGTAACGAAAAAGGGACACTGGATCTAATCAAGTGAGAATCATTGACAAGACTGTTTCTGAGAATAAACCTCATTTATAATTACCAGCAAAAAATGGAAATGTTCTTTCCAAATGATTTTTATTCAAATTTGTGTGATAAAAAAAATAAACTTTTAGGCCCTCCCTGGTAGTGCAACAGATTAAAGCTCAGCACTGCAATCGAGTCACAGCCACTTCAGTGCAAGTATGATCCCTGGCCCCGAGGTGACCCACATGGTGCGGCAGACCTCTCCTGTCTCACCCGCTGCTCCCCTCAGCAGTATACTTCTTCAATATGCCTATTCTGCTTGTCACTCTGTCTCTAATGAATCCTCTCACCATCCCTGCACCTTTGGCTTGTACCCCAATTCTGTATGCATAAATAAATATATCTTTAAAAAAAAATAAATTTCGGCATAAAAAAAACTAGCAGTAAAAAAAATTTTTAAAGGTAAAAGCATGTAATTAAAGTAGGTATTAAAACTAAAGGCAAACAGCAAAACAAGATTTATCTCTACATTTGCCATATGTACATTATCATTACAGAATAAGTCTTCAATTAGATCTAACAAATACTACTAATTCCTAAGGTTGTAATACATTGCTCCAAAATGTGTTTCTATATTTATATAAAAAGAAAAAAGAGGGCCCTCCCTGGTGGCGCAGCGGGTTAAAGCACAGCACTGAGAATCTGAAGCCACTTCCGCATGAGTTCGATTCCCGCCTGCCGCCTGGCTGAGCGCCCCGCCCCCAGGTGTCCTTCGTGGTCCGCATCGTGCCCAGCCCCGACTGGTTCGTGGGCGTGGACAGCCTGGACCTGTGCGAGGGGGACCGCTGGAAGGAGCGCGTGGCCCTGGACCTTGCCCCGCACGACGCCGGCACGGACAGCGGCTTCACCTTCTCCTCTCCCAACTTCGCGACCATCCCTCGGGACGCGGTGACCGAGGTGACCGAGGGCGCTGCTCCCCGGGGCGCCGGGGCTCACTTCTCCGCGGCCAGGCGGCCGAGGACCGCCCCGCGAGGCTGCCAGAACCGGCCGGAGGGGGCTCCCGGTCGAGGCTGCCTCGGTGGGCGGGTGGGGCACCCCGCACGGGGTGCTGGCTGAACGCCCCCTCTCTCCTCAGATAACGTCCTCCTCCCCCAGCCACCCCGCCAACTCCTTCTACTACCCGCGGCTCAAGTCGCTGCCCCCGATGGCCAGGGTGACCCTGGTGCGCGTGGGGCAGAGCCCCGGCGCCTTTGTCCCATCACCCCCGGACCTCGGAGGCAGGGGGAATGAGATCCTGGACGGCCCCTCAGGTACGTCCGCACCCGCGGGGGCGCACGCCCCTGCCCACGTGACCCTGCTCCCGCACGCGCAGGCCAGGCGCCCCATGCGGGTCACATACCCGGCTGGGCAGTGGCCTGACTGGACGTCAGCTGCCTCTGGTGGCCACCGCCAGCACCCCGACGAGCCCCCAGTGATGAGCCCCCCCAGCCCCCGACAGCTGGGAGTGGGGGAGAACGGAACCCGTGCGGTCGCTGGTGCTGGGGCCCAGGGCACCCTCCGGGCATCCCCACACCAGTCCCGCCGGCC